GGTTGAGAACAGCAGCAACAGTCAAGACTGTGGATCGAGTAGGAAGGCAAAGAAGCTCTCGTCCAAATCAACAAAGGCAGCACATAAGAGTGGATTGTGGAACCTATAAACTATAAAGGAGACAAATATATGCATTTTTCAATGGATGTGAGTTGCTGATTTTTTAATTAATTAATTTTATTTATTTATTTTATCAAAACTGACGGCGGAGCAAAGGAAGACATCATGAACAGACTCGGCAAGGCAAGATCTGTACACAGAAGCATGATCAACATCTGGAAGTCAGGACAGTTTAGTATACAAACCAAGTTAAAGCTGTATAACAGCTGTGTACTATCCACACTCCTATTATATGGAGCTGAATGCTGGAGGATGACTGATCATGACCGTGCCAAGCTATCTTCTTTTCATACAACCAGCTTACGCCAAATCCTCAGAATCTTCTGGCCCAACAAGATATCCAACACAGATCTGTTATGTAAATGTAGGCAAGAGGACATGACAACCATAATAAAAAGGAGGAGGTGGAGATGGATTGGACATGGTCAGAGAAGAGAACAAGACTCTATTGTGAAGACTGCCCTCCACTGGACACCCGAAGGACCTCGCAAAAGGGGCAGACCCAAAGTGACCTGGAGACGCACAGTAGAGTCTGAAATAAAGTCCTGGAATCATTCATGGGGAACGCTGACCAAGATGGCCCAAAACAGACAGAGCTGGAGATCCTTTGTTGCTGCCCTAAACGCCAGATGGCGTAATGGGTAGTAAGTAAGTAATTTATTTATTTATCTATCTATTTTGTTATTTTTCTCGTTTAATTAAATGTCTTTCTAGCGCAAGTTTACTATGTTTTTGATGAAAAAGTAGGCCTATTCAAAGAAGAAGTACTCGATACGGTACCTTTCACAGGGGGCTGCCCAGTTTGACATAGGCCCAGTTTGTCACAATTGCATTTAAATATGTAGATCTAAGTATTGATTACAGTCATAATTACAACACTTAAAACACTTCAGTCGTAACTTAAGTTGGTTTTTTTATTCTCCACATTCAAATTGGTATTGTAATTGTAAAGATAGTCCCTTTTATATATATATATCAATTCAGCTAGTGTTCATATTTCTTCCCTTTTGTGTATGCAAATCAAAGCACTGTAAAATTCTGTAAAATTTGAACAAGGGGTGTTCTTTCGTTGAAAACAGTAGAAAAATAAAATTCAATTCATACCAGCAATCAATCATTCATTTACTCTTATTGAGAGTGTCAGTGATAACTTCCATCATGCAGGGCACAGTCGAGGCGGGGTGGCCTGTGACAAAGTGGGTCTGTGACAAACTGGCATGCTTCCCTTTCAAAGATTACATATTATTACTATCTCCAGTGTATAATTGCCACAACAGTTTCTTTGATATCTAACTACTCTGCAAGCCAATTATTCTGTATTTTCTTACATGTTTTCAGCAAACTAAAACATCTTTATGGTTTATCACACCAAAGTGAAACGGAAGCCCAGCTCACTTAGAATTCTACTTTAATACCAGAAAGTATTGGTCACTTCCTGCTCTACAGAAACTCGATCAATGTAAAATCATGCTTGTCTTTTGAGACATATTCAGTTTGTTTTTCCATTGGCTAGATCTATGTTTTCTTTCCGATTAGCGCCATCAAGTATTCCCTGTATTTATGTTTTACCAGCAAACATTGTAGTCAAAGACCTATTGATGAAAACATTTTTTTGCGTTTTGTCACTCATAGATCTAGATTCAAGATCAAGGTCTAAGATCTGTATTTTTCTTTAGTTTCAAGTTTCTCACCACACTTGTACAAGTGCGGATAGATTTGAAGCCCATTCCTGTTCAGCAACATCCTGAATAAGGAAGGGGTGGGGTATTAAATGATCAGCGTTTGAACTTTGACGATGATAGTTCACCCCAAGTACATGTAATTGGAAGCAATGTATCGGATGTTCTACATTAATTAGTGTTAACCTATAAAATTTGTGTTTGTGTGTGTGTGAGAGAGAGAAAGAGAGAGAGAGAGAGAGAGAGAGAGGAGAGGGGGGGAATAGAAGGGGAGAGGGTGGGTGTGTTTCTCTACCGTTTGCCTTTCGTTGCATGCACAGCCGAGCCGCATGCACACCGAGGCTGCCAGTCAGCCCTCCAGTTTCGCCTCGCCGCATGGTTTCTTGTACGCTAAGCCCTTGGGTCAAAGTGTGATACATTTTAGACAGCCTGAATAGAGATTTCAACAACACGTTCTAGACAGCTTGAATAGAGATTTCAAACACTACTACACGCCTAGCCAGACTGTATCGATTGATGAGTCACTGATTGGGATGAAAAAGAGAACTGTTTATCAGCAACACCTCAGGATATACCGCCATGCTCGATTCGGGATAAAGAAATTCGAACTTTGCGACGTCAGTGAGTATGTGATGCACGTCACATTATTCGCAGGGAAGGATTTTGACCTCCGATGTCGACAAGGCCAGGCTCATGCTGTCGTCATGGAGTTGATGACAGCAGCCCTACTCCTGCACAAAGGGTATCATCTGTTCACGGACGAGTTTTATACTAAACCTGCCCTGGCAGAAACCCTGCTGCAAAGCCAAACATTACCGACGGGTCCAGTCAACCGGATGTCTGTGGGTCTTCCTCGGGGACTCTCTGATACTCTCGAAGTGGGGGGTACCCGATATAAACAGAAGGGCCACATGCTTGGCATTGCATTTAGGGAGAAAAAAACTCAGAGGCAACCAGTGCTTCTCCTCAGCACAGGACACTCTGCCGAAAACAAAACTAAGACCATTTACCACAAGGAGGTCAGAAAGCCAACCATGATTTTTTATTACAATAAATATATGGACGAGGTGGATTTGAGTGACAAGAAGATCTACCACTATGTTGCAAAAAGGGCCACCCATTGCTACTGGGTCAAGATCTTCTTCAACTTGTTGGACATGGCACTCCTCAATGTCTATGAACTGTACAGAGTGGCGCGGCCTGAACCTACTCAACAAGCAGCCTTTCGTTCTTGCCATCATCGAAGCCCAGTGCAGACCATCGGTACCAGCTGCACCTCCACCAGGGACCCCCAGACAAACACCAACTACCCAACCAGGAGTGCACAGGCTATTTCTGTTGGATGGCAAGAAAGAAAAGAACTGTGTGGTCTGCAGTAAAACATGTCCTGCAGGGAAACGCAAACCACGACCCCGACACTGGTGTCCTGTTTGTGAACTTAGAGTACATTAGAGGTGTGAGGATAAGTTTTCTCATCCAGGACCCAGTCCGATAGGGACAGAAGAGGAAGCTCTAGATAAATGTGGGGTCAGTAGTATAAAAGCAATAAATCAAGAACAATACTAACCATTCAGTCGCCAAGATTTTTTTTTTTCATTATTGCTGTTGGTCCTGTACGTTTTCGTTCGATAGTGCAGGTGTATGTTTTCATTCTGTAGGCTACGTTTTCTTTCCTTTTTATTATTCAGAATACCTTGAAAATTTTGGTGTACTCATCTTAATCTCTATTTTACCTGCAATGTGGATTTAATTTCCATTCAAAATATAGTGTGGTATGAGTCGTGGCTGTTTTCGGGGCGCAAGTTACACTTGTTACATAATGCATTATTTTGCTGGAATCTCTAGGGAAGTGGGGCAAAAAAATCATTTTTAAAAATATTAAAGTAAATGCCTCATATCATACATATTTGGAAAGGAAATTGAATTCTCTACATGAAAAAAAACATACAAAAGCAATTTGAAGCAATGCTTGGCTTCTGGGAGGTATCTCAAAATGATCTGTACTTGTTACACGTGGCGGCCATATTGAATTCATAATTAAATCAACTTTTTTTTCTGCAAACCTGTATAAGAATATTTTTATTGAATTCCTGGTCCAATTCCCTACACAAAAATATATGATAGTTATTATGGACAAAAACCCAATTCTATTAAGTTATGGCCATTTGCCTACACCCACTGTATTTTCTAAAAAATCCCTCAGCACTGGTAGATTTTCTTGCAGCAGTAATAGGGTTAATAGGTGAGCGGGGTGGTGAACCAGAAGAGCGCCAAAAGAATGACAGGCGTTTCCCACTACGGGCAAGGAGGGCCCCATTGTGGAGGACAATTATGTCCTGGGATAACTGTAACGCGAAGGAAATGGGGGGTGAGGGGGGATGAAGAGAGCTTGGTTTGGAATGGGGCGTCAGGACTGTCTTGAATATCCCCCCCATGTTTTGTGTTCAGTACTATCAAGATGGGATAACCAGGGCCGTCTTCCCCACGTTTTATGTTCATGATTGTAATATTGGGTTAACCTGGGGTGACACATGGTTTGAGCATCTTACGATGGTGCTTTAGACAGTTCAACAAGTGTAGCATCAACTTATGTTCGTGGTCCGTAATTGATTACTACCCCGACGTGTATTCTCTTTATGTGGGGTGTTGGTTTTCACTGTACTGATCAATGAGATCAAGAGGGCGTGTGGTCTAATTCGCTTCGATTACCTGGCAAGTCACAAGAAGGTGAAAGGAATGAACAAACTGCATGCAATACTGCCCGCGAGTCCTGACTGATGGAACTGTTAACAATTCATGTCCCCCTCCCTGCTTGGAGTTCATATCTAACAGGTAATAAACCAACAAGTCCTGGTATTCTACATTTCACATTAACACTGGGCAATACAAACAGAATAGATACATGGCTCACTAAACTTCTATAAGACCATATTCTGCAAAATTCTGGAATAATATGCATTGCAAATCTGTAAATAATTTAGAGTCATGAAAAAATATTTTGACATAGCTTACTTAATTGTATATTGTTATATAAAACAATGCCAATAATATCAAAACAATAAGTTTTTGAGGTTCTTTTTTCAAAGACGACCCAAAGCATATTAATATTACAGTAGTCTCCCCCTAAACGCACGGTGTACCAGAGGGCTCCTTAGCGTGTGTTTACACGGAGCGTGCGTTAACATGAACCTTTGCAAAGGGAGGAAGGGACACAGTCATTTCATTGCTTTGATATTCTAGTGACCTCCCATTGGGGTGGGGGTCACTTTGGGCTGATAATGCGACAACACATGACTGTTTTGTGAAGGATTCCCCGACTGCGGTACTGCGCTTAGGAATACAAAGGCGTTTGGAGGGGGGAGAAAGACAGACTAAATGTAAAGAATATGCACTATAAAAAGTCGGGAACAGATAGCCTAAGGGGAAACTGTTGGGGATAGTCATAGTCATAGAGACGGCGGTCCAGTCACATGGCCTTCCAAGCGACCACCCCGACCATAAAGTCATGGACGACATCAGAATCATAGATCTCTACATTCAGAGAAGCATTTCTCTTGTGATTCATTGAACAAGTACATTATAAAAATATAAGTTCTGCGAGCGCAGCTGATTAGGCTAACTTGGCTAATCTTAAATCCTATAGGGGCCTGTCTAGTGTTTTACAGCATTCACGCGTGTTGCGCATCAGGCCTAGGTCTAACTAAACATTACATGCAGTCACCCAAACACCAGTCAGAAACCTTCTTTCAAAGATGCATTTCCAGTGACCAATCAAAAAGCAGTTTATAATGCAACAAGTAAAAAGTTAGTCTGATTTCCGCTGTTTTGCTTTTACAGGTGTTGACAGTCTCTCCTCAATCAATTCACAACGTGCTACAGTGTACGAGCGCCCAAACTTCTCGAAATCCTTTTGACACCACAGAGCAAATAGTTGAGGTACAACCAGCAAAGTCAGGTGGATGCTCCAGAACAACAGAGCCTCTGGCCCAGACACAGGAGACTGGAGATCTTTTTGGGTGCGGTGATGGCAGGAGCCCCATATGTAGGTCACCTGAGCCTTTACAAACCAAACAAATACAAAAATTATGGTACGCACTTCATGACGTTATGGACTGAAAGCAAAAAACAATATGCTTACTTTCCGAAGGTAATACCAGTAAAACATTTCTGACGATGTGATGATCATGCCATAAGTACAAAAACCTTGACACTATTTTCATTATAAATGGGACCACAAAATCAATGCAAACATTTCCATGGTACAAAGAACAACTAAGTCTTCAAGACATAACTACACTTTTGATGCCTCAAACTCAGAATATCTCCAGAAACCCTCAACAAGCACTAAATGGAATTTTTTAAGACATACTACATAAATGTGAGGCATCGTGTTGAAATCAGGCGCTCGTCAAGTTAATGAAATCTGAGAAATTGGCATTTTTTGGCCAGTTTGGACACTTTTTTCACATTTGTTTTTTGGCTCAGCATCTTCTATGTCATTTCAATAACACTTTAAAGTGTCGATTTTATGGAAAAACATTGATTAAAGGCGCAAAAAATATAAATTTTAAGTTTCCCAGGGTTCTCCAGCTATGGAATTCATCAAACTTAGGCGGCCATTTTCTCTCTATTTTTACCTCTGAAACCAGGCGACCCCTACCTCCTTCAATCGCAAATATCTCAACTTCTATTGAAGATAGATGGTTACTTTTTTCGCTGAAAGCAAGACAAACGAACAAGTTATAACTCACTCACGCCATTACCTGTGTCGGTAATAGGCAACAACCACTCACCGCCACTACCGCACCCCTGTCAGTCGCGTATTATTCTCTTTATTTCTACTAATTGCCGACACATATCTGGCAACGGCATAGCCGAATTACTAGAGTAACATCCCTTTGACAACTCAGAGCAGTTTCACTTTATTAGAATGATTTCCCTTGAAGTACTGCCTATATTTATAACAAGAGTTCCCTTTGTCTCTTTTCTGGGTTTTGTTTTTAACGTGGGCGGCAGCCGAAGTCAACCAAACGCTAACTTGATACTCATGCCGATATGAATTGAAAATGGCACTTAATTTTAGAGATTCTGAACCCATGAGTCAATGAACTCAGATTCAGATGATGAAGTGCAAAATAATGGTAGTGATAGTAGTTTGAGATGAGAGAAAGAGGTACATCACCTGTCGACAGCAGTAGGCTGGTACTAATACTAGTACTAGATCTAGTATTAGAGTCTAGTACTACGACAAATGATTCAAGCGGTGACGCTTGAAATAGTGTAGCCTAAGTCATCATAAACTTTTCAATTTAGTATTCTTTGTTTCGTTATATATTTCTGTGTGTATTATAGGACAGAAAGAGCAACACTCTCACCAAAACTACAAAAATATTGTACTCGCTAGTTTGGCCCCAAAAAAAAGTTTTAGTCTTCAAAATGTGTCATTTTCTGAAGACCTATAAAACATGAACAAAATAACTTAGTGTCAAAATTCTTTCTGTTCTGTAAAGCTCAACATCTCCTTCTGAAACTGGCCAATTTTTATACATCTAACATAAATAGGTACAGAGTAACTGGATTTTGAAAAAGGTTAAAAAAAAGCTGGCAGGCAGCGGTTTGGTCTGAGCAAACGCGCCGGCAGCGAGTGAGTTAAGATGATACCAATAACTCCATATCCTATCCCCGTCGTTTTATGCAAGAAAAATTCTGAAATTATGCAAACTGAGCCCAAAAATGTGAAATTATGCAATTCTATTAATTTTAACAAAGAATGATAAAGGAAAATAATCAGAAATTATGCCAAAAAATTATCAAATTTACTCAATTATGCGGGGTGCATAAAACCACGGGGACAGATATGCCCAAATATTGACCAGCACCTGATTCCACCGCGTCGTGACACAAATGATCTGCCACTTAAACTAACTCTCAAACTGCTATCCCTACCAACTCACCTGTGCTGCAGCCCCAGCATGGATCAGGGACCAGTCAGTCATTCTGTGTGTACCAGGATACACCAAGCCATAGATCGCATAGAGATAATATGCCAGGAACATGTAGCTATATGCCAAGGTCTGCAAAAATAGACCATTTGAAACGTAATGAAAAAGACATGACTCATTCATGTTTGTGATATTTGTGTCCAATGGGATCCACATAAAATTTCATTTCCACATTCACTGTCTCAGATCAGAAGTCATACCATCACACTGTCAAATTCAAATTCAGGGGTAGGTCTGGTAGTTAAAACCAAGGATTCTTAGAACATGGGTCAGAAAAATGCCATTACAAGAGAATGATCAATCATAGAAGTCAAAGTCTAACACAAGGGCAGGCAGAAGAGGACACTTTACTCCTCTCTATAAAAAAAAGTGGTAGACCTAACAACTGCATAGTATTGTAGATCTACAGCTACTACCAGATCAATTATAGTATCATCTTACCTGGAACTTAGGAAAGTTTGAAGGGTCCTTTAAGTAAGGATCATATAAGTTAAGATATGTCTTCATTGCACTGGCATTGCCACCAAGCACAGCCTGAAAAAAAAATTGAGACTTTAAAGAAAATTTTGCTTTTCACATAAAAACAAACATGTCTCTCTCACAGAGAGAGAGAGAGAGAGAGAGAGAGAGAGAGAGAGAGAGAGAGAGAGAGAGAGAGATGTAGGGTGGGGGGAGAAAGGGTAGAGAGTTAGGCAAAGATATAAAATACGAAGACGTCTAAGACATGCAATGAAGGTACATAGTTACTAAAACATGTTAAAAACTACCCATACCATCAGAAATTTCTAATTAAAGAGACATGAACTTTTTG